GTAGGGAAACCAGTGGTTGGAATACGCAAGGGCTTTTGAACAGTGAGCTTGGCCCACTAAGGGGCAGTCCTGATTCTCATCGCCAGCCTGCGACGTCTGTTCTGCTGAGAAGTTCTTAATTGCTTACTTGCTGGCAATGGTTGCCCTTCTGAAATGACACCTCTTGAGATCACAGTGGGAACAAAGAGTTTAGTGGGGGCAAACGGTCTAGAAGGTAGGCTGGACTCAAAGAGCATCTGAATATAATAGGAGAAAAAAGTAGAAAGTTGGTGTGTTTGTTCTTTTTTTTTTTCCCAGTAGCTCAACGTTGTCACATAATTTTCAGAGTTCTTGCTGAATTTAAACAGGGACTTTTTGATGTTTGCTTGTTGCTAGCAGTTGGTTTCATGAGTGACATTTCTACAGTGTATAAATGCCTAATTTATAAACGAGGTTTTATGTCATGGCAAGAGAGTTAGCTGTAAAATCAACATGTGAATGTAGCATGGTTTGATTCAAATATCTTTATGAACCTGGAAAGTAGTCCTCTGTAAGTGCTATGCATAGAACATCAAGTCTCAAAGTGAGCTCCCTTAAAATGTGTAAGTTTCTCAAACTTTTTCCTCTTCTCTTGTGCATCCCTTAGGTTGAACTTCAAGATGTCCTTTGGGAGAGATATGGAGCTGGAGCATTTTGATGAGCGTGATAAAGCGCAGCGATATGGCAGAGGGTCCCGGGTAAATGGTTTGCCCAGCCCTACTCACAGTGCCCACTGCAGCTTTTACCGAACCCGTACTCTACAGACCCTGAGTTCTGAGAAGAAAGCCAAGAAAGTTCGTTTCTATCGTAATGGAGACCGGTATTTCAAAGGGATTGTGTATGCCATCTCCCCTGACCGGTTTAGATCCTTTGAAGCTCTCCTGGCTGATCTGACCCGAACTCTGTCTGACAATGTGAATCTGCCCCAGGGAGTGAGAACAATCTACACAATTGATGGCTCCAAGAAGATTTCCTCCTTGGACCAGCTAGTAGAAGGTCAGCAGTACGATCTGGAGGTGTAAAGTTATGTTTGAGTCAGTGTTTTTTTGTCTAGTCTCTTAAGTCTTCTGCAAATAGGTAATGGTATTGTTGTTCTTATTGAGAAAGAAAGGATCTTCAATCATGTAACTAGAATTGTGAATATCTTAAATTGTGCCATGAAATATTGTTGCCTTGCTGCTCGTTTCCCTCTTTTTGAAAGTGTCTGACCTTTCCGTTTCTGTTAACTTATATCCTCCTAGGGAAGCTGAGGAATTGTGGGCTGGATGAGTGGTCGGTGAAGTGGATAGAGAACTGGCTGAATGGCAGAACTCAGAGGGTTGTCATCAGCGGCGCTGAGTCTAGTTGGAGGCTGGTAACAAGTGGTGTCCCCCAGGGGTCAGTACTGGGCCCAGTCTTGTTTAACTTCTTCATCAACAACCTGGATGAAGAGTTAGAATGTACCCTCAGCAAGTTTGCTGACGACACCAAACTGGGAGGTGTGGTAGATACACCAGAAGGCTGTGCTGCCATTCAGCGTGACCTGGATAGGCTGGAAAGCTGGACAGAGAGGAACCTGATGAGGTTCAACATGGGCAAATGCAGGGTCCTGCACCTGGGGAGGAACAACCCCATGCACCAGTACAGGCTTGGGGTGGACCTGCTGGAGAGCAGCTCCGTGGAGAGGGACCTGGGTGTCCTGGTGGACGACAGGTTAACCATGAGCCAGCAGTGTGCCCTGGCTGCCAAGAAAGCTAATGGGATCCTGGAGTGCATCAAGAAGAGTGTGGCCAGCAGGACGAGGGAGGTTCTCCTTCCCCTCTACACTGCCCTGGTGAGGCCTCATCTAGAGTACTGTGTCCAGTTCTGGGCTCCCCAGTTCAAGAAAGATGAAGAGCTACTGGAGAGAGTCCAGCGGAGGGCTACAAGGATGGTGAGGGGACTGGAGCATCTCCACTACGAGGAGAGGTTGAGGGAACTGGGCTTGTTCAGCCTGAAGAAGAGAAGGCTGCGAGGGGACCTTATAAATGCCTACAAATATCTGAAGGGTGGGTGTCAGGAGGATGAGGCCAAGCTCTTTTCAGTGGTGCCCAGCGACAGGACAAGGGGCAATGGGCACAAACTGAGGCACAGGAAGTTCCGTCTGAACATGAGGAAGAACTTCTTCCCTCTGAGGGTGACAGAGCACTGGAACAGGCTGCCCAGGGAGGTTGTGGAGTCTCCTTCTCTGGAGATATTCAAGACCCGCCTGGACAAGGTCCTGTGCAGCCTGCTGTAGGTGACCCTGCTTCGGCAGGGGGGTTGGACTAGATGACCCACAGAGGTCCCTTCCAACCCCTACTATTCTGTGATTCTGTGATAACTTAGTGTTGATAATCCTAGATCTTGAAGATCATATCTGCTGCTTCTTTAGAACTTGCATATTTAAAAATACCAATGAGCGTTCAGTCAGTTAAACTTGATAAGGTCTGTGGTGCTGATGGAGCCTGCCTGAAATTCAGTTCTGATGGATTTTTTTTTTAAGTCTGTCTGCGCCTAATGAAGAACTCCAACTCTTCCCTACAAGTAAATATGCCTTAAGTAAAATGCTCTCCTCTCATGGAGTGGCATAAACGTAGGCAACGTGTTAAAAGAGTAGTGTTGTAGCCATGGTTCAACTGGGGTAGAATGTAAACTTTTCTGCCCTATAGCATTTCCCTATTCCTCTTCCCCAGTCCGCTGGCATCCTTATGTTGTTTTTAAATAAGTACTCGCAGTGTAAAGCGTCACTGGTGATTTGGTCAGAACTGGCTTGGTCACTGTTAGACATCAGAAATGCTGGTCTCTAATTTTCCCATCAACACTGAATTTATCACTTCTTCAGTGACAGTTTTGTTGGCAAAAGAAGCTGTTAGCATTAATCGATTTGGATATTAGGGCTAGGATATTAATAATACCTCTTACAAGTTTTACAGATCACTGAAGTAACTTTTCCAACATAAACTGCTTGTGGCTTTTTGTGTGTGTAGGCAGTAGCAACTAGCATAAAACATCAGAATGTGGAAGGTCTGAAAGCATTAACTAGCACATGGCCATAACTGAGGTTGTCTTTTATCTGTAAAGTTTAAATGCAGGTGCTTGACAGTGTTCCAAGAAAATAAAGGTGGAACAATTTTTTCATCATTGCTTCCGTCCTGCCGCTGGCCCCAGCGTGCCATGGGCAGACCTCTAAAGCGTGGATATGTAGCCACTGGACAACCAATTTAGAGTCGTAACAGAGATTGTAATTTCTGTATGATTTTCAGTTTGTAGCACCGGGTGAGGGAACTTGCAGTATCAGGATGTAATGAGAGGATCGGAAGGCGGCGAATGTGGGGAGAAGAAAAGAGTGATGCTGAACAAGGTTCCTCAAAGAGGAGCACATCTTTGCATAGCAGGTGTTCAGGCACCACTGAGTTGTCTCCTTTAGGTGTCATAGCAGAAAAGCTTTTTAAGGAGAAGTTTTGAGAAGAGGATATTCTTGATAATTAATCCTCCTTGCATAGAAAGGAGAGTAGGAGACAACATGAAGATGCCCAAAAAGAAAATTGAAGTGGTGGGATTGTCCATGCAAGTAAGGGGTTTGGGGGTTAGGACCATAGGTTTAGTGAAATGAAAAGGAAACTGGTTTTAAGATCAAGGTTATGAATTCCAGGGCAGAGTTAGAACTGTATTTGTCAGGGCGGTATTTAATTGGTGGAAAAAATCAATTTCTGGGAGGAAAGACCAATATTAATCAACATCTGTTTAAAAGCAGTGATTGTGCATTTTCTTCTCAGTGGTGGTGTAAATAATTATGCTTATTTGATTGGTACGCTCATCAAGAGGCAAGTATCATTGATGTTAATGTTGATTTGCACAAGCTTTTGCTGCCAGCAGAACCAGCTTTTGAAAAGAAAGAACTGAATGTAGAAATAAATTCAGCAACCTATAAGATTGGTTTATTTTGGCATGCTAGAGAAGAATAATACCAGTTATAAATCAGTCTGTCAAAATGAATGACAGTACAAGAGCATAAGTTTATTTTAAAGAAGGGCTTTGGGATTTCTTTTAGTTCTGTGGGACTTTATTCTCTACCTTTCCAGTGAATACATCCTTCCTTCCTGTATCTAGTTCAAGTTGGACAGTCTTATTTTCTTGTGCCATTAACACTGTGGGATTTACAGAAGTCAATCTTTGTGTGGAAGTAGAGAGCTACATCCTTGTTCCACCTGAAAGGGGGCTTCTGTCTGTTTGTACAGAACTGCAAGGTGGGTTATTTTGTTCTGTTTGCCTCGTAGAGCTTCACTGTCGAGTACAGGTTCATGTATTATTAGCTCAGTGATGGTTTTTACAGAAGCCCCTTCCACTCTTTACTGTACAAGTTTATTAGAGTTTGGCTAGTCTGGTACAGCATTAATTAGCTTGAAGCTGTGCTTTGTGCTTAAATAGCTGGAAAATCACTTGATTTTTGCCTCTTGCCAAGTGACATTTGTGCTCAAACTATTGAAATATGAAGTGTTGCTTTCTTCATGGTGAGACTATTCCCTTACTGTATGAATTCATTTAATGAGACTGTTATGAATTTAGATTTTTTTTGGGGCATTGATTTTAGTGATTGTGTTGTAAGGTAGATGTGTAAGGCCTTGATTTGGTGTTGGTTTTTTTGTCTTTATGCCTGTGAGGAAGTTACTGTACTCTTACCTTCCCATACAGTACGTGTAGACAGAGAAGCAGCTATCTCCTGGGGGAAACATGACAGCAGCCGCTGTCTTTCATCCCAGAGCTAAATACGTAGAACTGCATGAAAGACAGTCCCAAAGGAGAAAGGCTGTAAAGGAGCTGTTTTGCTTCAGTAATATTTAGTTCTGTCCTGCCTACAGTTCAGAGCTGGCATGGCTGTATCCTGGTGATGTAGGTTATTTCGAGGTACATGGACACATCTTCCCTTTAGTTGAAACTAATGACTTCCCTGGGGTTTTGGTTTGTTTGTTTGGTGTTTTTTTTTGTTTTTTTTTTTTAAGATATGGGGCATGTGAGATTTGTTGGGATTGGATAACAAGGGGTATGTCCTGTTGTAAAGTTTCACACGCTCTAACTGCTCTTCTCCTTAGATGAAGGAAAGAATGCAATGGATTCGAGTTACCTTATTTTTGTCAGACCTGATGTTCAGGCCCCTCTTACCTTTAAAGAATGATGTCCAAATGTAACATGACTTTATTCCCTAGGTATGGCGTGCAATCAAAGCATATAGAAACAATAAAGATGAAGTTGCTCTTAAGGCTAAATTGTCTAGCTGTAAAAAAAGTCTCAGGAAAGGACTGAGTGCCTTTTGCTTTTCCAGAAGCGTAGCATCTTCACAGCTAAAGGCAGAGATGGACTGATGGGTCTTACCCCCCAAATTACCATTGAACAGTAATAGACTGGAATGAGCAGGATAACTCTGAAACAAAGAGCATTATTTACAGTTTTACTCCTGGGGTCCTGCTGTGTGGAACAAAGACCACAGAATCAATCCATAGCCAGAACTGCATCCCTTTCTCATTAATTTTTATTATAATATTACCTCAGAGTCTTGGGTATGAACCAGAATCAATTGTTTTAGATTTCCACAGTACCTACCACAAAAGATGAACCCTGCAGCAGAGAACTGGCAGTCAAAGACAAACTAAAAACCCCAAACCACAAGGTCAGGAGAGTACTGGGAAACAATATTGTCACATGTCAGTATTGCATGATACTGGCAGTATTGCATGGGTGCACTGCCAAACTATTGTAAAGACTGAGAAGTGTGCTTGCACATTTTGTGTAGGCATAATGGCAAAAATAGTTTTAAGAAATAGTCTGAAAAAGAAAAATGAATGTCTCTTGGGGTTTCTCTCAGAGCTGCAATCCTCAATGAAGGGGCAATTTGAAAAAGCACAGATATACCAGTTTCAAAATCTTTTAATGGCTGTTAACTGGTTAATGACTCCTGGGAGATGTGAACCTCCCTGCAGTGGCAGAGGAGGTGATGGCTC